CGAGGCTTCAAGAAAGGCTTGACGCCCTCCTCAAGCCAGCGAACGACTCCCGCGGAGTCCATCCATCCGTTCTCGTGGCAAGCCACGACCACATCTGCACGAAACCCGAGCGTGTGGTTAGAACACGCACTCAGAACAGAACGCAAATACAGACGAGGGCAATTGTTTGCTTACCGGCAGGGAAATCGCCCTTCGGCAATGTTTTGCGCTTGAAGAACACCCACGGCTTCAGCTTCCGTCCGTCAGCCGCGCACGCCAGCATCACGGTCACTCGCTGCTTCTGATACCCCGCGCTCCTGATAGGCACCGAGCGAGCACCCGCTTCCTCCACGGTGCTGGTGGCGGGCATCTCCAGCCATAGCGGCGTCTGATCCGCGTTGATGATCCACGCGGTGTCGATGCCGCGCTCTCGACGCTTGTCACGCACGAACTGCCAGAACATGCGGCACAGCTCAGCGACACCTGCACGGCGGGAGAAGAGAGGACCAGCACACACAGAGGGTGTTAGTACACATGTACAAAACACACGTGGCACATAAACCGGGGTATCACTTACGCGCGGCGGTTTTCTGGGCAACCCGGGTCTTCATCCGGACGCTCAAATTCCAACGACGCCGGAACCGCGCCGACCACCTCTGGCTTCCTTTCCACTTCTTGTCCGGGTACAGCAGCCTCATGAACTCCCGCGACCACTCCTGCAGGCGGCCGACTGACACGGCAGTTCCCTTGCGGCGCCACTCGAGCAGCTTCTCGTACACCTTCAACTCCATCGGCCGGTATCACGACGACCGCCCGCGATCGTGCATGCGCTTCCGGGCGGAGTGAACTTCCTTGAGGAAATCCGCCGCCCGCTTCCAGTTGCTGAGGCACTTGCGGTGGATTCCGCTCTCGCGAGCCAAGGCGCGCACCGACACCGACCCATCGAGGCGACTTGCCCACTTCAACTTCTCCGCGGCGGTGTAACCTTGCCGCTTGTGCTCGGTGAGCTTGTGCCTGGGAGAGGGGGGGCGGGCATCACGGTTCTCAGAAGAGGGGTGGGGTCGCTTGCGATTAGTCGGAGGATACGTTGGTATGGGCAGTTTCTCAGGTAGCCCGTCGCGTGACCAGTACTCAACGCCGTCGTCGTCACCGTCGCCCGTAACGCCTTCTGGAAATACATCTTCAGCGGTGCCGCCCTCGGCGCCGCCTTCGGCGGAAGCCTCCGTATCACCCTCTGCGCCGTCAAAGCCGCTCGCATCCTCAGCGTCAGCAACATCATCGTCGGCGCCGACTGCAGATTCGTCCCAAGGGCAATCTTCGGGCTGTCCCCAGCATCCTCCAGGCACGTGGTCCACTCGCACGTACACATCCGGCGCGTTGTTAGTCTCTGGTTCTGACAGGAACTCGTCGAACGCCGATGGTAGCAGCGTGAGCACGGGCTGATTGGCAGCGTGTTGCGGTGACACATGACCCAGAGGCGAAGGAGGAAGAGGAGGCGCAGGAGGCGAAGGAGGAACAGGAGGCGAAGGAGGAGCAGGAGGTGCAGGAGGCGCAGGCGGCGCAGGAGGCTGTGGTGGCTCTGGTGGATCTGGCGGGATACGGGTGCACCACCCGTCAGCGTCTACTGTAAACGCGGGCCTTCGAGTAGGCTTTTTCTTGAACAAGAAGTGGGTGCCGCTGAATTCCGCCATGGCTTCCGCAGCCAGGCGGGAGTGAAGAAGAAACGGAACAAGAAACTGAGAGAAAAGGTGCACAAATGAGAGATTCAAAGGGACCCCTGCGGGTTTGCGCCTCGGGGTCCTCGTCGGGGCGAGACGGGTACCCCCTGTCTGAACCCGGAGAGGAGGGTATCGTGGCACGAACATGATGCGCTGGCAGGTCATTCCACCGCCTTCTCGATGGTTCGGGTGAAATGCAGCTGCCTGCCACCGCATGTTACCCTGATTGGACCGCATGGCAACATTCACGTCAGCGCTGGCAGATTCCCTGCTCCTGGACGGGGTTTGTGCGGCCGGGAATCGAAGCGTGGTGGTTTTCGGCGGGATTTCATGCATTACCTCACGCGCACGTTACACAAATGTGTTCGCCTTATTGCGGGCTTCGTTTTGGTACTTTTCAATTACAATTTCATTTTTGACCATGATATAAGCGCCGGCGCTTGTGGCCGTGACTCGATTACAAGCGCCCCCCCCCTAAAAAAACCAGTTTTATTATAAGCGCACATGCGCCTATATCCGGGGTTATACGGTATCATTCGATGTTGACACATGGTTACTGCACTCTAATTGTTTCATACTAGATTTGTTGAGATAGATGTATTCTTGAAGAAAATCCTGATTGCAAATAAAACGCAATGTTATCAAAACTTTTGTTGAGCGTACATTCTTTTCATGAACATACTATTCATAAGCAAGCTTGTATTTTAGTTGTACTTTGATGGTGTGCGTATCATCTGGTAATTGTGAAAGTACCTGTACCACTTCATCGACCTTCACAGGAATATTTATTACTCCGCCACAAAATCAAATTGCTTCCCAACAGTCAACAAATGAATTTTCATGAATGGTATACGAGGGCTCATTATTCTAATGTTGTAATATCGGAAATACCATTTGGTCTCGTAGGAAAACCATACTGATAAAGGTTAGACAACAGTGATGCTTTTTTATCGCTTTCATATTTTGCACAATATCGACATATACGTTTGAATGATCCCTCAATTTTTGATCTAGTCATGTTATGCCCAAAACTCAATGATCCGTATACTTTGCACTCTATATCAGGACTACACTTAGAGTCTTGATGAAACTTGATCACGTGTCTGTTTTTTTTTTTTTTTTTTGGGTTGCGAAGCAACCCTTTACGATCGATTTGGACAGATTTTTTTTTCACATTTTATATTTATTTATAATACAATGTGAAAAAAAAAAACTGGGTGCACTAGCTAGCTACATAACGTGTACCATAAGTTTTATCTAATTCAATTACGATGTGATGGTTCTGACCGCACTGCGTCATATTTTTGTATGTTGGATGATTAGTGGTAATTACGTGACTATTATGAAATGAATATATTATGAATCGTACACATATGCTTAAATGAATATAATAATACATGCTTGCTTGAATATAATGATACATGGTCGACTGAATATAATAATGCAAATGATATAAATGCATTATGTGATGATGATAAAAATGCTTCAGTATGCATAATGTTGGATGTTAAAATGCATGCATACCAGTATATGATATAAATGCGTGACAGCTAACGATCCAAAAACTATGCTATCGCATCCCCTGCCTAGCATGGGGGGGAGCTAATAGCATAATCCTTGAACAATCAGCAGTCACATGAAACAACACAATCTGTGAACTCTAAAAAGATGGTCAACTCTATCATCTCCAGTTCAAGTGGGCTCCCGACAGGCGCGCCAATGAACCTTCTAATGAAATGATAGACCTGATTCACCTTTTTAAAACTCACAGACATGCATTGTTATTGCAATGATGGATAAATGCACACTCAGATAAGCAAACACATTCATAACAACCAAACGCATGCACAAAAAAAACAAAAAACAATAAACAAAAAAAGCCGGAAACCCACGATCACACATAAACGATGCAAAACAAATCAAAAATGGTAATATGGTAAATGCTATAAGTGACAACTACAAATTCTCCAGATTAGATTCGTCTCTCTGGTCAGCAAGACTCCTGAGAACAAAAAGAAAAGATGAAGAGAAAAGGAAATCATAGAAAACCGTTAAACATGAATAATCAGGATACAAAATTACGGATGAAGAAAAGTAAAGGCAAGGTAGGGTCAACATAAGAGAAAATAGAGCAAATCAAACAAAGTAGAAAACAGAAGCGTAAAATGGAAGCATAAAACGGAAGCAGAACGCGAAAGCAGAAAATGGAAGCGGCAAACTGAAGCAGTAAACATGGAGAGAGAGCGCGAACGACAGAGAGAGAGGGAGAGAGAGAGAGAGAGAGAGAGAGAGAGAGAGAGAGAGAGAGAGAGAGAGAGAGAGAGAGAGAGAGAGAGAGAGAGAGAGCAAGAGAGGGAGAACGAGAGAGAGAGAGAAAAGAGAAGGGATGTCAAAGAAATGAAATATAACATATGAATGAATGGAATGAACCAGAATGAACAACATGTTAAACTGTATTATGCTTGTAGGCTGTAGTGGGGTAGCCAATATGGGGTACAACCCCAACTAGGGTTTCATATTTGTACCCAAACTTCTGCTAGTTCATTCATTCTTGCCTAGTTATTCTGACATGGTATCAGAGCAGGAGGTCCCTAGGACCTACCGACCGTTTTTTTTTTAAGGGCCCACCACCGCTCGCATGCGGTTACCACGCTACCCCGTGCCCTAGCCTCGTAGCGCCCTCGTGCGCCCTCGTTAGCGCCCTCGCGCGCCCCTCGTTAGCGCCCTCGCGCGCACCCTCGTTAGCGCCCTCGCGCGCCCCTCGTTAGCGCCCTCGTGCGCCCCTTGCTAGCGCCCTCGCGCGCCCCTCACTAGCGCCCTCGCGCGCCCCTTGCAGTGTCGCCCGCCCGCCGAGCCGCCCGCTCGCTGCCCGCTTCGCGGCCCGCCCACTTCGCAGCCCGCTCGCCCCGCTGCCCGCTTCGCGGCCCGCCCGCTTCGCAGCCCGCTCGCTCGCTGCCCGCTTCGCAGCCCGCTCGCTCGCTGCCCGCTTCGCGGCCCGCCCGCTTCGCAGCCCGCCCGCCCGCTCGCTGCCCGCTTCGCGGCCCGCCCGCTTCGCTGCCCGCTCGCAGCGCCGCCCGCCCGCCCGCTACCTGCTTCGCAGCGTCGCCCGCCCGCTTGCTGCCCGCTCGCAGTGTCGCCCGCTCGCCCGCTGCCCGCTTCGCAGCGTCGCCCGCTCACTTGCAGCCCGCCCGCCGCACTTCCCTGCCTGTGCACCGCCGCTTGCTCCTGCTGTGGCTGCTAGCTTCGCTCTAGCGCGTCCCCTCTGCTGCTGCCGCTGCTCTGCTGTGCCCTCACGCCTGAGCTATGGCCTCTATTCGCGTTCTTTCCTTCGATGCTGAGGGCCGTCCCGTGCAGTTCACTTCCTGGCTCGACGACCTGCAGTTGTATCTTATGAGCAATAGCACGGACCACATCTCCCTCTATGACTATGCGTCTGGTGCTGCCGCTGCTCCTGCTGCCACAGCCGAGCTTAGTGTTCGTTCCCACTGGCAGACTCGTGACGCAGCTGCTCGCCTAGCCATTCGCAGTCACCTGCCGCTAGCTGAGCTCGAGCATTTTGGCGACTGCAAATCCGCTAAGGCCCTGTACGATGCTGTCGTTGCTCGCTACTCCTCGCCTGCCACAGCCGAGCTTAGCCGCCTCATGCTGCCGTACCTGTTCCCCGATCTGTCCACCTTTGCTACAGTCGCCGATCTTATCACCCACCTTCGCACTAGTGATGCTCGCCTGCGTGCCGCCCTTCCCACCGAGTTCTGCGCTAAGAACCCCCCTCCACTGTACTGGACACTCCACTTCATAGTCACCCGTCTCCCTGACACCCTCAGCTCAGTTCGAGACCACTTCCTTGCTCGCTGTCCCACTGAGCTCACAGTCACCCTCCTAGAGGAGCAGCTGCTCGCGGCCGAAAAGAGCATTGTAGCTGTCGGTGCTGCTCGTGGCGCTCCTCGCACCCCCATCTTTGAGGGGTGTTCTCCCTCTCCCCTCGCTCCCTCCTACGCTGCTGCTGCTGCTGTTGACTTCCTTGGTGCTGAGTCTGTTGGCGCTGCTTCTACTCCTGGTGGGAGGCGCCGCACCGGCAAGGGCAAGGGGGGCAAGGGTGGTGGTGGTGGCGCTGGGGGGGGAGGAGGTGGGGGAGGTGGGGGGGGAGGCGGTGCTGGAGGGAGCGGTGGCGGGAGCGCTGGTGGGAGTGGGGTCGGTGGTGGAGGCGGGGGCGGCGGCGGAAGCAGTGGCAGTAGTGGCGGCGGCGGCGGTGGCGGCGGTGGCGGTGGTGGCGGTGGTGGCGGTGGCGGTCGTAGCGGTGGTAGTGGTGGCGGCGGAGGTCGGAGTGGAGGCACTGGCTCGGGCCAGAGCTCCCAGCAGCAGCAGCGTCCCCAGACGACCCAGCAGCTTCGTGAGTGGCTTGCTCAGCGTGGGACGTCGGGGGGCAGTGGCCGCTGTTCTTATGTCATTCGCACAGGTGACCGCAAGGGACAGACGTGTGGGAGGTTCCACACCCCGTACCGCTGCTTCTCCCGCCTTGACGACGCTTGGCGTGAGGAGATGGGTGCGGATGTTGAGCGCCCCCGCTGGGCTGAGCTCATGAGGGCTGGTGTTGATGTCTTTGCTCTTGACTTTGATGCTATTATTGCTGCCATGTATGCATTGACTGTTAGTGCCGAGGGAGACTGTTACTTGTGTGTGCCGCCTGACCCAGGTATAGAGCCCGCTGCCCTGGGTACTAGTGAGTCTGCTCTCTCTGGTATGGTGCCCCCTGTACTTGCTCCCTCCAGTGCTGTCCCGGCTGTTTTCGAGTCTGCTCTCTCAGGTACAGCACCCACACAGACTGCTCTCTCAGGTACCGCACCGGCTGAGGCCTGTCACACCTTCACCCTTGACTCAGGTGCTTCCCGTTGCTTCTTTCGTGACAGTACTGAGCTCACACCGCTTCCTGCACCGGTCCCAGTCTCCTTGGCTGACCCCTCTGGGGGCCCAGTCCTTGCCCAGTCCACCACTGTCCTCCCTTGTCCGGCGGCTCCGTCTGGCTCGTTGTCGGGTTTCCACCTCCCCTCGTTCTCGACGAACCTGGTGAGCAACGCTGTCCTCCAGGATCAGTGGGTTGACACCTTTACCCCTGGAGGACAGCGTGTGGCGATCTGCACGTGCTCCAGGACCGGCCGTCACCTGGCTACGTTTACCCGTCGGCCGGGGTCGAGTCTCTACACACTGACCACTGCGTCTCCTCAGGTCGCTGCTGTCGGTCAGGTGTCTGCGTCAGGTCTGGTAGGCCACGCCTGTGAGTGTCGTTCCCTGTCGCACCAGACTCTTCTCTGGCACCACCGCCTGGGTCACCCCTCCTTGCCACGCCTTCGTGGCATGCACCGTCGCCACCTTGTGTCTGGTCTTCCCAGGTCCCTCCCTCCCCTCCCTGCCTCTCCTGCGCCGCCTTGCCTTCCTTGCGTCGAGGGGCGGCAGCGCGCCGCTCCTCACTCCTCCTCGTTCCCCCCGACAGAGGCTCCTCTGCAGACCCTCCACCTGGACGTGTGGGGCCCAGCCCGCGTTCGTGGTCAGGGCGGTGAGCGGTACTTTTTGCTGGTTGTCGACGACTACTCGCGTTACACCACGGTCTTCCCCTTGCGCACCAAGGGTGAGGTCCCTGCTGTTCTGATCCCTTGGATCCGCACAGTTCGTCTCCAGCTCCGCCGCCGTTTCCGGACGGATCTTCCTGTCCTGCGTCTGCACTCTGACAGAGGTGGTGAGTTCTCCTCCGATCTCTTGAGGACCTTCTGTCAGGCGGAGGGCATCGAGCAGACCTTCACGCTTCCGGACTCCCCACAGCAGAATGGGGTTGCTGAGCGCCGCATTGGTCTGGTCATGGAGGTCGCTCGTACCTCCTTGGTCCACGCGGCGGCTCCCCATTTTCTGTGGCCGTTTGCTGTCCGGTACGCCGCGCATCAGCTCAACCTCTGGCCCCGTGTCTCCTTGCCGGAGACCTCGCCCACACTGCGTTGGACGGGGGAGGTTGGCGATGCGTCGCGCTTCCGGGTGTGGGGTGCTCGTGCCCTTTTTTCGCGATACGTCCGCGGACAAGCTCTCCTCCCGCACGCTTCCCTGTGTCTTCCTTGGCTTTGTCCCTGACGCGCCTGGCTGGCAGTTTTACCACCCCACCTCGCGCCGGGTCTTCGCCTCTCAGGATGTCACCTTTGACGAGTCGGTCCCTTTTTACCGTCTCTTCCCCTACCGCACTGCCCCCCTCCCTCCCCCGCCGCTTTTCCTTGCTCCTGGTCCCCCTCCGGTAGACCCCCTTCCCCCTCAGGGTCCTGCTCCTTCAGGTGTCTCTCAGGTAGACCCTCCTCCCGTCGCTGAGCCTGTCGAGGTCACAGGTGACTCAGGTGCTGCTGCAGGTGGTACTGCTGGGAGTGCTGAGCCTGGGGGTGCTGAGCCTGCGGGTGCTGGGCCTGGGAGTGCTGGGACTGCGGGTGCTGGAGCTGAGGGTACTGTGCCTGAGAGTTTGCCGCCTGGGGGTGCTGAGCCTGGGGGTGCTGCGACTGGGGGTGCTGAGCCTGCGTGTGCGGAGTCTGGGGGTACTGAGTCTGGGGGTGCTGAGCCTGCGAGTACTGAGGCTGCGGGTACTGCGCCTGGGGGTGCTGCTACTGAGCCTACGGAGCCTCGGGTTACTGTGTCTGGGGGTGCTCCGGTTCGGGGTGCTGAGCAGTCTCTCACACCGCAGCAGCTTCGTGACTGGTACGTCCGGCGCTTTCGCCGTCCTAGTGGCTCGGCTGGAGTTGGGGGTGCTGGGGCTGCTCGTCCTGGGGGTGCTCGTACTGGGGGTACTAGAGCTGCCGGGACTGGTTGTTCTGGGAGCACTGCGACTGGAGCTGCTGGAGCTGGGGACCCTGGCGCTGGCGGTGCTAGCGGAGTTGGAGCTGCCGACTCTGGGGGTGGCGCTGCTGCTGGTGCTGCGGACCCGCCTGGTGGAGCTGCTGCTGGAGCTGAGGACCTGAGCGGTGGCGCTGCTGCTGGTGCTGGGGACCCGGCCGTTGGAGCTCCTGCTGGTCCTGAGGACCCGGCCGCTGGAGTCTCTTCTGCTTCTGGAGACGCTGCGCGGCCGCGACCGTACTTCGTACCGCTCCTTCAGCAGGTTCTTGGGCAGGCTCCTCCTCCTTGTCCTCCTCCCTCCGTAGAGTGTCCTCCGCCTGTCCAGCCGCAGTCACAGTTACCGCCTGCCTCGCCTCTCCCTGCTCCCTCTCCTTACATTGGTCCCACAGGAGGTCTTACAGAGCGTCGTGAGCCTGAGTCTCGTCCTGCGTCGCCTGTTCGTCCTGCTCGCGCTGGTAGTCGTGTCCGTCGTGAGCGTCCTCCTCCTGTCCCAGGCACTCACTACATGACTCTGCGTCCCTCTACTACATGACTCACTACATGACTCTGCGTCACTCCTCGGCGTGTCCCTCTACCGTCTCCTCTTGCGTCCTCTTTGCCTGCCGTTCCGGACCCTGAGTCTGACCGGTATCGCGCTGAGCACCCTACAGTCACGCGTCTCCTAGCTACTGTTGTCACTGACCCTACCTTTGAGTCCTCGGCTGCGTCTGCTCTGGTCGCTGAGTTGGTTGCCTTTGCTGCTGCCTGTCGTCTAGACTACGCTGCTAGCCTTGTTGCTGAGCCTGCGTCTGCGTCTGTCTGTCCTCCATCCGTCGGGGGTGAGTGTGCTCTTGGCACGGACGTCCTTGAGGACAGGCAGGAGGACTTTGACTCTCTTGCGGCTGCTGTACCTCATCTCGTGGCCTGGTTGCTTGCCCCTGAGGGAGACCCGGATGCACTAGACATCCCCACTCCGCGCACTTACGCAGAGGCGATCTCGGGTCCCTACTCCTCTCAGTGGCAGACAGCCATGGACGCAGAGATGGCATCCTGGAAGTCCACAGGCACCTACGTCGACGAGGTTCCCCCTCCTGGGGCAAACATCGTCGATGGCATGTGGATTTTCAGGGTGAAGCGGCCGCCAGGTTCTCCGCCTGTCTTCAAGGCTCGTTACGTTGCTAGAGGCTTCAGTCAGCGTCAGGGGGTCGACTTCTTCCAGACCTTCTCCCCCACCCCGAAGATGACCACTCTTCGGGTTCTGCTGCACGTTGCTGCTCAGCGTGACTACGAGCTTCACTCTCTTGACTTCAGCACAGCGTTCCTGCAGGGCAGCCTGCACGAGGAGATCTGGCTGCGCCGCCCACCTGGCTTCACTGGGTCGTTTCCTCCTGGTACCCAGTGGAGCCTCCGCCGGCCAGTCTACGGTCTCCGCCAGGCACCACGTGAGTGGCACGACACACTGAGGACTACACTTGCAGCTCTTGGGTTCGCGCCGTCTACTGCTGACCCGTCGCTGTTTCTACGCACAGACACGTCGCTACCGCCGTTCTACATTCTCGTGTACGTCGACGACTTGGTCTTTGCTACTGCTGACACTGAGGCACTCGCTCGTGTGAAGTCGGAGCTGCAGAAGAGACACACCTGCACTGACCTGGGTGAACTGCGTAGCTACCTTGGCTTGCAGATCACCCGGGACAGAGCTCGCCGCACCATCACCCTGACTCAGTCACACATGGTGCAGCAGGTCCTTCAGCGCTTCGGCTTCCAGTTCTCCTCACCACAGGCCACACCTCTGGCTACCAGCCACTCGCTCTCAGCTCCACCTTCGGACGAGTCCGTAGAGCCGAGTGGCCCGTACCCAGAGCTTGTAGGCTGCCTCATGTACCTGATGACTTGCACGCGACCTGACCTCGCGTACCCTCTTAGCATCCTTGCTCGTTACGTTGCGCCTGGGAGACACAGGCGAGAGCACTGGGAGGCGGCTAAGAGGGTGCTGCGTTACTTGTGCAGTACATCAGGCATGGGGCTGGTGCTTGGAGGACACGACAGAGTTGTCCTCACTGGTCACTCGGACGCTTCTTGGGTGGACGACCTGGCTACGCAACGGTCGTCACAGGGTTACACCTTCAGCCTTGGCTCTGGTTCTGTCTCGTGGCGGTCCACCCGCTCTTCCTCTGTTCTCGGCTCTAGTTGTGAGGCTGAGATCTACGCCACAGCCATGGCTGCACAGGAGTTACGCTGGCTCACCTACCTGCTGACTGACTTGGGAGAGCGGCCTAGTTCTCCTCCAGTTCTGTACGGTGACAACAAGGCGGCTCTTGCCTTGTGTCAGGAGCACAGACTGGAGCATAGGACGAAGCACATTGCTCTTCGCTACTTTCTTGCTCGAGAGCTTCAGCAGCGCGGTCAGCTTCGGCTTGTGTACGTGGACTCGAAGGCCAACACTGCTGATATCTTCACCAAGGCGCTCCCGCCTAGTGATCATCAGCGGCACTGTACTTCTTTAGGCCTTGTGTCCACGTTTCCTCACTTGCTCACTGCTTGACATTCTTTGTACTGTACTTTATATATATCTTGTTGCTTGCTTGCTAGGTTTTGATCACTGTGTTGCTTGTCTTGTACTATATCTAGCACTGCATGTGAACTGGCCTTGTGGCCTTTACTTGTGCTCGGAGTGTGGTGACGTTGTGATCCACCCTGGGCTTTGCTTTGCTTTGCTGGACTGGTCTTGTGACCCTTTGTTCTCCCCCACTTTGCCTATGGGGGTGTGTTAAACTGTATTATGCTTGTAGGCTGTAGTGGGGTAGCCAATATGGGGTACAACCCCAACTAGGGTTTCATATTTGTACCCAAACTTCTGCTAGTTCATTCATTCTTGCCTAGTTATTGTGACACAACATACTAACAACGGTGATTTAGGAAAGCGGAAAAGGACAAACACACACAACACAACAAGTGGTTAAATACGAAACTATGCGAATAAGGTGCGATGAGAATCAGAAGATGAACACACACAACAGAATGAAAGAACCAGAGAGAGAGAACAAGATACACACAACAGAATGAAAGAACCAGAGAGAGAGAACAAGATACACACAACAGAATGAAAGAACCAGAGAGAGAGAGAACAACATACACACAACAGAATGAAGAACCAGAGAGTGAGAACAAGAGAGAGAGAGAGAGAGAGAGAGAGAGAGAGAGAGAGAGAGAGAGAGAGAGAGAGAGAGAGAGAGAGAGAGAGAGAGAGAGAGAGAGAGAGAGAGACCATGTATAATTATAATGCAAATGATATATAATGCAAATGTGACAATATCCACGTAGACAAAACGGAATGAAAGAGAGGATGATACAACACTAAAGTAGGATGATACATCATCTTCTGGTTAACATGTACGTCTAGATCTAGTTTTAAAAAAACGAAACTCTCAACCATGATGAGTTAAACTAGGACCCACTCTCAACTAGAATGAGCTTAAGAATAGAGAGAATAAAGCTTACCTTAATATGAGCTATAGTCTGGGGCGTGAGTAGCGTGAGTGACGTGAGGGACGGGAGAAGGTAGAGTAATCTGAGTAGGTGGAAGAGAAACGAAGCAAAAGGAATTTGACGAAACCCTAGGATGGGACCTTTTCGGTTGCGTTCCCGGACTAGTAAAGTTGACGCCGAATTTGAGACAGCGTGTTTAGCACAGCGCTATCGAAGTGGCGTTTCGTCGCGAAGGTCGGGGGTTGGAATCTAGTGGTGCGCATTGTTTCTGAAAAACTTATTCTTGATCCGTTTTGTACTTGTGTTGTTTCAGATTTCCAGTCACCATAAAACCAAATAATCTGTACAGAATAAGAATAGCATAAAGATTCTTCTTAACATTCAGAATCTATATCCAAAACGACCACACCCATTCATTTATGTAACCCTAAATTATATGTCAAATGTATATGTAAATAGCAGTAATTCATCAAATATCAAAGTCATGTTACGATATTATATAATTCTCATTATACCGTATCGCCCCGGATATAAGCGCCGTCCAATTAAAGGCGCCGGCGCTTCTATCTGGAGCATGGCGCTTATGGCCGGAACTCGATTATAAGCGCCCCCCCTGTGAAACCCTGATTTATTATAAGCGCATCCATAATATTATGTTTCAATCCTGTTTAATCCGGTAACGAGTTTTGAATTTCAAGCGAGTCAGCACCCATTTTCAGTTTGTTTGACTTTCGCGGTCCTGACTGCTTTCGCGTCCAGTCAGGATGAGGTGGCAAGCTGGCAAATTGACGTGTCAAAATCTCTGTGCACTGTGCAGCGTCAGAGAATCGCCCTCACGCGATTCAGATTCTGGACGCTTTAAAATATCGACTCGATTGAACTACCGAGACTGAAATGTGTACATTTTGATGCGTTTAAGTTGTATATCTGTACTTGTCATTATATAAGCGCCGGCGCTTATGGCCGTGACTCAATTACAAGCGCCCCCCCCTAAAAAAACCAGTTTTATTATAAGCGCACATGCGCCTATATCCGGGGTTATACGGTAGGTCAAGTGCATCTAAAAATTACAGTGTAATGTTGCTTCGCAACCCTAAGACGATTTCGTCGCCTCTTGTTTTTTTTTTTTTTTGCGTAGAAGGTTGCGATTTTATTGATATGTCTTCAAATTTCAAGTTAAGGTCGCTATTTCGAATAGGAACGCCACAATCTACGTTCAGTCCTAATGTTACATGTCCTCGCAAAGGCTGCACCTACAGTATGTTGGAAACCAGAAAACGAATATGGCTTCTTGTTGTGCTCGACAACAAGCTTGAAGCTGTGTGTAAGCACTGTTACACCAACATACTGATTTTCAAGTACGCCTTCTGTATATGTATACTCACGACAGATACAGAAAGAACATTGCAGGGCATGGTGTTTGTGTAAACCATGCCCTTTCGAACAAACTTTTACTGGTCGTTCTTCAAGATCATTATTTCGATGCGTAGTATATGGAGCCATACAGGCATCTGTAAAACAAACAGTATTGACGCTTGCAACGGACTCACACGAAAGCTCATGCAAACGATCATGAACCGACTTCGTGAGACTTACAGAATTGTTCCGTGAATCCATGTGATCTTGGCTTGGAAGAACTTCCGATACGTTGTCCATCTTAACGTCCATCATATACTCATCTGACAGCTATCGAGTCTCGTATATGACGCCATTTTCAGTATGAACAAGTTGTACACAACAGAAAATGACATACTTCACTTCGTTTCATTTTCACTTCGTTACTTGATCCATAATTTGTATGAGGTGAAAGACGGTCGACATATTCATTAGTTGGCTCAAATTGATGATTGTATCCCATGCTAGCCCTTACAGGATAGTCATATTCGGTATTTTTCCAATTCTCTACGTATTGCATTTTTTTTTTGTTTTACGTCTTTGTACAATTCAGGCATACCGTAAAACCCCATGGACGAACAAACAATTGACATCTCCCTAAATTTGTATTAACTCCAAACGATATATAGAACTCACTGTATGTTTGCTCTCCCGTAAAGATATCATCCGAGTTCGCCATAGCAGAGCGTCCGTCCAACCGAACCACAGAAATATGTTGGAGTAAAAGTAACATGACAAACGTGCAGTGCGTTAACATTTTTATAATATAGAAACCTATGAAATTCTCAAGCAAAAATGCTTGTTGAGCCGGGTAAGGTAGAACCAGGATAGAACAGAGAGAGATGCGGGGTAATTTGCAAGAAGAAACAATTCACGAAGCTAGGTGCGCAAACGCTTACGAGACTAGGTGTAGCACCAAGGTGAGTGAGAGCAGCAACAGGCCGCGGAAGATGAGAGGTTCTTCTTAGAAGCGGTGCACCAACAGACGGATGGCAAGGCCTAGTGTCAATGATGTGAGGTTGCATGGAGGGGTAAGAGAAAAAAAGGAAGTGCAAATTGACCAGGAATTGAACATGAACGCTTGTGAATATCATTGAATTGAAGTTCTTTTACGACAAGGAGTGAAAGGACAAAACAACTTACGTATTGAATGCGGAGATAACTCTAGTAACGGGAGCTAGGCTGCGGGCTAGGCACGGGTGCTCGTGTGATCTCTGCGTTCGTTGGTCCTTAGTCGTTTTCCTAGTGCACACACTGCTTGCTAGTTCACAAGGCAATTTGGCAAGAGTTTCACTAGAGAAAGTTGACAACAATGATGCAATGAAGTTGGCTAGGAAAGACTACATCAGAGCTAGGATGCAAGCAGGTCGACTGCCAGCGCGGCACGGTCGACCGCGTGCCAGCACGACTTGGTCGATCGCGCTCCAGCAGTGCAGGGACGCGGCTTGCCAACGCTGCAGGTCGACGGCGTGACAACAGCGCAAGTCGACGGCGTGCCAGCGTTGCTCCTGCAGTCCAGCATCGCACCAGCTTCGCAGGTGCTCGTAGATGATTGGCGCGCACTGCTTCGTCACCTGCACAGCGTACGCACCAAGTCCACCTTGTGCTGACGACCGCATCTCATCTGCCAGGTCGACCTCGGGATACCACCACCGAGGTCGTCCTTGCCAACCTCGCCTGGGCGACCTTCGCGTGCCTTCGCAGACCCTCGTCACCCAGGTAACCTGGTCGACCGGGCAACCACGTCGACCAGGTGCTCCTGTGCGTGCCTGTCGACCTCCCAAGTCGACGGCCACCTCCAGTCGACCTCACCAGGTCGACCACGACCTCTGGTCGACCAACTCCAGGTCGACGACACTCCTTGTCGACCACCTCCAGGTCGACCAGCACTCCTGTTGGCCGACCACCCAAGTCGGCTACCCCAGGTCGGCGTCCCCAAGTCGACGCCCTCTGCAGGTCGACTTCTCAAGTCGACCACTCGAAGTTGGCGCCCTCCCGAAGTCGGCGCCCTTGCAGTGGCTCCCGTGCAGGTCGACCAACCCCGTCGACCGGCTCGCCCACTACTGCAGGTCGGCTGCACCCCTACACCCGACCAGGAAGTCGGCTCCGCCCAAGCGAGGACGGGGCCAACACCCAACTCCCGTTGACACTCCCCTGCCGCGTTCACGCTTGGGCCCCCCCAGCCCACACGACAGCACCTCTCGGAGAACAGCTCGTCGACGTGCACCCAACACACAGCACGTCATCCACCGCACCAGCCATGCAAAAGGGCATGGCACCTACTGCTGCACTTCGTCGTCGCCGTCGCCCACGTCGGCCAGACGCACTTGGCCGATTGCAACGGAGCACCGGTTGAAGGCCGGATAGTGCAGCGCCTTCGTGAGGAAGTCGGCCGGCTGCTCAGCTTCGTCGTCGTCCCCCGCTTTACCATGTGCTGCAGCCAGGCCTGTCGCCGCTCCATGTGCTTGAGGTTGCCCGTCAACCCCATGCCCTCGGCGACTGTGATGGCCGACTTGTTGTCCACCCGAAGGACGGTCGGCTTCCCAGCATCCAGCTGCTGGAACTCTGCGAGGAGGAAGCGAAGTCGGCGTCCCTCCTTGCCGGCTTCGACGGCCGCCACGTACGCACGACAGCGTCGCGCACTTGATGCGCTGGCTCGAC